AAAGAGCAGCAAAATGCTGCTCCTTTTAGGGGCAGCAAAAGGCCACCCAAGAGCCAGCACCGTGGCTCTTCAGCACCCTTTTGGTGAAGCAGGTTTGAAACCTGCACCAGAAGTGAGTCCTGATGCCGTGTGCTGTGTGTATGGCCGTGTGCCATCAGGACACCATCAGGGTGAGGTTGGGGTGGCCGGTGTGTAGCTGCCCCACCCCAACTCTACCCCCAGGCTGGCCTTTGGGCCAGTCTGCAACAGCCCTGAACTACTGTTGTACTTTGGCCATATCAAGAGAAGACATAACTCCCTAGAAAAGACAATAATACTTGGTAAGGTAGAAGGCAGTAGGAAAAAAGGAAGACCCCATTCCAGATGGATAAACTCAATCAAGTAAGCCACAGCCCTAAGTCTGAAGGCCTGAGCAGGTCTACTGAAGATAGGGTGATTTGGAGAGCTCTCATTCATAGGATCACCATAAATTGAAGTTGACGTGATGGCAGTTAACGATAACAGAGTTGCTAGAGACACATTAAACCTTTCCTTTTTATTTTCATTTCCTCCCCTACCTTCTCACATGCTTCCTTATGTTCACTATTTTCACATGTTCAAAATACTTACCCAGAGGAAGAGGTATGTAATTTTTGAAAAGTAGGGAAGAAATAGGTATGATTCATGTACTCTGCATACTATTAACGACAACGATGCCACCATGCCCCCCTTCAAAAGGCAGGCTGCATTATAAATTAATGCAGCATTGAAAAATTGCTGCTTGTGCAATTGTTTTACAGATTAGGCAATAATATTTGCAAATCTGCTGGCTGTTCAGGGCATTTATCTGCATCAGTGAAGAACTGCAGAAGGACTGCATATAAAATTATATTGTAGAAGGCTTCTGAGTTTACCAGTGATGTACAAAACCAGTACAAAGGTCACTCATATTTCTTCTCTCATTATGTAATTGTCATATCCATTCTTCCTCCATGAAAGTTCCTCTGTCTCACCTACTCCTGGGCAGAGGGTAGAGCAAGTGCAGAGGATTGTTCTTGTTCTATTTGCCTTCAAGTAATTTCTGACTTATGGCAACCCTAAAGTGAACCTATCACATGGTTTCTTGATCCTGAGAGTGTGTAAACCCAGTGGGTTTCCATGGTGGAGTGGGGATTTGAACCTCAGTCTCCAGCATCATAGTCCAATGTTCAAACCACTATGCCACATTGGTTCCCCAGTAAAAAGTATAGCCATTTTAAAATATCTGAACAGACGTCATGTAGAAGATGGAACTGGCTTGTTTTCTGCTGCTTCAGAGACTAGGACATGAACAAATAGTTTCAAATGGCAAGAAAGTCAATTCACAACTGAACATTAGAAAGAACTTTCTGGTGGTACAAAGTATAAAAACTGTTCAACAGTAGAATTGAGAATGGTAGACTCTTCTCCACCACTTTACACAGAGGCTGGATGTCCATCTCTTGGAAGTGTTTTAGCTATCCATTCCAGCATGGCAGAGGGTTGGACTAGCTGGCCCCTGGGATCCCTTTCAATTCTCTAATTCTGTGAAGTTTCGGTTTCAGCCAGTGGTGGCTGCTAGCCTCCATGTCAATGAGGCAGTGAATCCATTCTGAGTTTAATCTGAATTTTAATGGAGCTATGCAAGATATCAAATCTGTTTTGGTTATTGGATTCAGTACTTTGGACATCCCCTTTAAAGCAGGGGATAAAGCCTAGAGCAGATCTACTGTCCCACTGATGTGGGAAGCACAAATCAACATTGGTTCCTGCTCAAGAAGCAGAATTGTGGACAAGGACTGAGGAGATCTTACTCTCCTTACCAAACATTTTAGTTCATTTGTTTGGCCTCAGTTTGGTTAAAGGACAGGAAAGAATGTCTGCTGGCCATGGTATGAAGAGTGAACCAACCAGTAGCCAGCATGTGGTGCTCATATCTAAAGCAAATGATGAACAGTGAATACCAAATATCAAAGTAGTACTGTACTCATAGTGAAACCTGTAGAATGACTCAAGTACAGTGTTCTGCTGAAGGATTCAACTCCTTTTCACTTTGTTTTGTTCTGTTAAATTCTGTAATTGAAATAGATTTAACTGGAATTGCTACCATTTGGTGTACATGAAATGCTCAATATTAGGATGGTGCAAAATATTTTCATTGTGATACAAATGTTGTGTAAACCAAAATAAACTGGAATATTTTGGTTAATGGGTTATAGCAGACCTTATTTAGGTATGTCACAGGAAAGGAGATGGGGTGTAGCCTGACCTCACCCAAATAAGTATTTGGCCTCTGTAGATGAAAATCTCCTTCATAGTTACTCCCGTAATATGCAACCACAAGTGCCAGTTTGTTCTTTAATTACTTAATCTCTGTACCAATTTAAAAATATTTTGTAGGGAAGTAAGTAAGAACAGGTGACAGAATATTGGAAGAGAAAGGGAATATAAGGAACAATCTATAAAGGGCTGCTGCTTTTAAAACTTAATTTTACCTTTCACTTTTCACCTACCACAAAGCTCAAATTAAGATATTGAGAGCTTCAAAGTGGCCTTTTTATCAGATCAAACCCAAACTGGTTTTCTTTCAAGAGGTGACATGAAATATGCATTCAGAGAGATCTTGGAAATGTTTAACACCAGACTTATAAAAAGCTAGTCTTTTTCTCTCTCTAATGCCTTGGCCTCCATGCACGGAGAAATTACTAGCTGTTGTTCTAATGCCAAAAAAGTATACAACATTGCATTTTCTAAGCCAGCCTGAAAATTTGCAACATTTGAGCAGCAGGGGACAGAAGTGAACAGAAAATTCACAGAGTGATTGCAACAATTCCAAAAAAGATCTACCACATTGATTCTATTGTCTTGCCAGAAACCACGAGAGAGCTCCTTTCAGATCTGTGATTCAAACAGAAGGGTGTTATCAGATAGCACACAAAGCATTTAAGATGTCCTGAGAGTTAGAAAAATAAAGTGTTTTGTTTTTATTCATATACTCTGAAGATGAATGCAAATAGGCACAGCTAACTAAAGAAGCATTCATATTTTGTATGTCTAAAAACCAGGTATTTGTCTTTTCACTTAGTATCACAAATGTGACCCTGCAAATCATGGATATTTTCATTGCTTTTTATGGGCTCTTCCCAGTTCTGTTCCTGGAAACAAATAAAAAATAGTTTTTCATTGTAAACCAAAAAGTGACCTGTCCAAGTAATAAGATAGTTTTGTCTGTGACTTTATCTATGCTATAATTTAAAATATTTGTCTCTTAGGGCTGAAACAGACAGGTCTGAAAGAGCAATGAGAGGCCAGTGCCGATTGCACCATGGCCATGGCAACCGCATGTGCCCGGCCCCAATCCAGGCTGCCACTGCAATTCTGGACTGGGCTGCTGGAAGGAGAAGATCCTGTCTACTCTTCTTGGCCCAGTTCTTTCTGGATGGTGCAGTTTTGGCATGACTTCCGCCGCATTCACGGCATGCATCATCTGAATGCTACACCCCACACGCAACCAGAATAAGCATCATGTGGCCCATGTGTTTTGGACCTTGGTTCCTCTGTCTGTTACATTGTATAATTTCACATTATTGATCAGAAATAGCATACTTGGAGTGTTAGTTAATGGTACTAAAGGAAAGACTATATTAATATCAGCTACTATACTATACAAATTGTTTTTGTTGTTGTTGTTGCTGTTGCTGCTGCTGCTACTGCTATGTACCTTCAAGTTATTTCTGACTTGTGGCAGCCACAAGGGAACTAACATGGGGTTTTCTAGGGATTAAAATGTGTGACTCATACAAATTCACCTAGGCTTGGCCCATGCTTTCCTGACCTGGGTGCTAATTTGGATCAGTCCCTGGGTTGGCACAGAGATGAATGGATATTTACATGCCTACCTATCCCTGTGCCATAGACCTGGCACCACTGTAAAACTCTTATCTTACTCTCCAGTTGCCACTACCGGGAGGGGGGGAGGACGACACCAGACATGGTCACATGGCTTGTTTCTGCATTAGATGTGGTAATAGAGGTCTTTTTGGTATAGCAATGGGAGAATATGGTAAGGAACATCTGGGGGCCATTTAATCAGGGTTTGTGGAATTTCTTTAAAACTCATCTTGACCTACATTATCTCAGGATCCAACCTGATCCACTGGATCCACATCCAGTCTGCCAGGATCCAGCCCAGTCCTGGCCCTGTGGTTTTGGCTTGCATTGTCCAAACAGGATGACACAAGGCCCAGGGGAACATGGGGCTTTTGGCCCATGTGTACATCCCCCTAGTAGTTTTTTATGGCAGAGTGGGGAATTGAACCCTGATCTTCAAAGTCATAGTCCACTGTCCAAACCATTGCACCACACTGGCTCAACTCCCTATAGTACCTTCCAAATATATACTTCATATAGTTCTGCAATGGACATTATGAAGCAATTTTAATGAAATATAATATTTATACTTAGGTTGTTATCTCACAAAGTCTATAATTTCAGGATCAGTTGAGAAACTCTGCTCTTTTGGGGCTGCTTGGCATGGAACCTTGACTGAAATAAATTTTGAGTATTGTTGGTACTACCAATCATATTTCTATTTCATTTGAATCATAAATAAAATCATCAAAATCAACTCCAGCAATGAAAGGTAAATTATCTATTATAGTTCTCTCTGTTACTCTCCTTCCTCCTGTTTCTCTTTGCCTCTTTCCAACCACACCTTTTCATTTCCCTTCTAGTTTGGCTGTCTGCTTTTCCCTCCCAGCCTCCCAAAATATCATTCTGTTAAGTTCTTTGTTGTTGTTGTTGTTGTTAACTGCCCTCGAGTCAATCTTGACTCATGGCGACCCTATGGATGAGACATCTCCAAGACTCTCTGTCCTCCACTGCTCTGCTTAATTCCTGCAAGCCCATACCCATGACTTCGTTAATAGAGTCCATCCATCAGCCATGTGGTCTTCCTCTCTTCCTACTTCCCTCCACCTTCCCCAGCATTATTGTCTTTTCCAAAGAGTCTTCCCTTCTCACGATGTGTCTCAAGTAAAACAGTCTCAGTTTGGTCATCTTGACTTAAAGGGAGGTTTCTGCCTTGATCTGCTATAGGATCCACTTGTTTGTCCTTTTGGCTGTCCATGGGATCCTCAGCACTTTTCTCCAGCACCACATCTCAAATGAATTGATTCTCTTCCTGTCATCCTTCTTAACTGTCCAGCTCTCACATCCATACATGGTAATAGGGAATACAATGTTCTTTAGGGGCTGTTATTTGTTGGGCAGGGGAAGCCTCCTTTTCCTGATAGGGCCTTCCGCCCTTTGGATTACTCTCATACTGTGGATCTCTCTCTCTCTCTCTCTCACACACACACACACACACACACCAACTTCTTTGTTTAATTAGTCTCAAAAGTGCTACAAGATCTCTTTACATACTCTATCTCTCATGTATGGGTGGTGTTAGTTTTGTTGCCTATGCAGAAGCAAAAGAAAGAATTGTGATAATGGACCATTGTGCCCATATGAGAATAATGCTGGCTGCCATTCAGATGGGAGTTGTGTGACTAATCCTCAAGAAGTCTATCCTGGACCCAGAAATATTAGATCACTGAGGTATAATGAAAAGGAGGAAGCACTTAATAATGACACTTTTCAGTCTGAATTCAGGACTGGGTTCAGGACTGTCACATCTATGACTTGTGGTTACCCTTTTACCTTTGAGAGATTGGAAGACCCTTCATCAATGACACCTACCCAGCATGTACCCTTTATACACTTTCCTTTAATGTATAAGGGCTAGGATTCCCAGTGTCCTCCTCTTATAAGTTTTATATCTTTAGTAGCATATTTTATATGCCTTGTGAATTCACTCAGGCAGAGGTTTCTTTGTAACAAAACAAACTTTAACTTTAATTAATAACATAGCAAAAATGTAGCTTAGGTAGAATAGTTTCAAAGGTGGTATTGTTACACTAATTCAACAGTAGCAGGTACTTCCCCACTCAATTTCTCTTCCCTGAACTTCCCTCTTACTTAAACCATCTGCCTGAACACTACTCCCTCAATGGAACTCTGAACTGAACCAACTGTACTCTGCACTGAACTTAAATTGACTCCCACTAACTCCAACTGATTGTTAATCATCACTCACTCCTCTTTTTTATATCTACTCCTTCCCCAGGCAACTCCTTCCCCACAGCCAGCCTGCACCAGGATTGGCTGTCAGGAAATCAGGGATGTGCTAAACTGGTTCCCAAAGGAAGAAACAAATAATTTTAGCAATTATTTTCTCACTGCAAGAATATGTGTAGTTCAGAACTTATTCTGCACAAAATTTCCACATGGATTTTTGTGCATACAAACAGCATTTTCTCTGTAGTAGGCAGCATTTCTGTGCAGAAAAATTAATTCTGTGCCAAAATATTTTCTTTGCAAAAAAATTTGCTGTTTTCTATGCAAAAGAAACCTGTGAGCATATTTCGTATACAGTATGGGCTCAACAGATGGTCCCAATAGAGTGGCCTTTGGCCGCCCCTTTCCTCATCAGATCAGGACCACAGCAACCACATGCCACAGCCCTGATATGGCAGTTTGCTGCTCTTTTTTAGAGCAGCAAAAGGGTGCCTTTGCTGCCATGGCAGCAGCTTTTCGCCAATTCTTCAGAGCAGCACGTCTAAACACTGTACTGGAGACACAGCATGACACTGCCTGCCGGGGCGAGTGGCAAGATGCCGGCATCAGGGCAGTGTTTAGGAGTGTGGTGTGTGGTTGCCATGCCCCCACTCTGCTCTGATGCTGGCTCAAAGTGCTGGTCTGTACAGAATCCAGGATTCTTCTTTTCGGGGTTTCCAGAAATAGAGATACATTTTTGAGCCATCTTTTGAATTTTTTTGAATATTCTTTCCATCTCTAGATTGAATTTGAAACCAAACTGGCCTTTGCTGCCCTGGTGGATGTTGTTTATTAGGAGAGGGGACCACACTAGCTATGAACAGGGATAGACATGGTATAATGAACCTTGTACAGAATCTTGTACAGAAACACAGTACAAGGTGTTGGTTTTGACCTTTAAAGCCCTACATGGCTTGGGTCCATCTTATCTCAGGGACCGCCTCTCCCCGTATGATCCCCCCGCACCCTTCGGTCCTCTGGGAGGAACCTGCTACAGCCAATAAAAACTAGGCTGTCTCAGACCTCCCAGAGGGCCTTTTCTGCTACCGCTCCCAGACTTTGGAATGGCCTGCTGGACGAGATCCGTCTTATCATCACTCTTGCTGCTTTTAAGAAAGCAGTAAAGATGGATCTCTTTTGGCAGGCCTTCTCGGAATAACTGTGGCCCGGTGTTAGATGAGTTTTTAAATTTGTTATACTGATTCCTGTGTTATTAAGGATGTTTTATTTTATTGTTGTATTTTTAATTGTCTTCTGGTTTAATTCTGTTTTAAGGGGATGGGAGGGTGGATTATGGGACGAGGGAATGTTTTAATTTGTTTGTTTTAAAATTGTTGTACCCCGCTCCGATTGCCATGCAGAGGGGCGGGCTATAAATAAAAATTTATTATTATTATTATTATTATTATTATTATTATTATTATTATTATTATTATGTCTTTACCTCTGTAAAATGTTCTATGTGTATCTATTGTTACCTTTGACTTAGATGCTACAGATAAATGCAGAATGCAGCAATTAGACTTTTGTGCATTATGCTTAAATCATGAGCATGTTATATCTTTGTGGACTGCATTGGCAGACAGATTTAAGATTTGGGAATTAACCTGTTTAAAAATAAATCAAAAAGGTTTAGAAGTAAGGCAGCCAAAAAATCAGCTTCTCCCTTTCTGACCTGTCTGAACACTGCAGTCCCCTTCAGAGAATCTTCTGGAAGTGCCAAAGCTTGCAAGTGTTTACTTGGGAATAACCAGAAGCAAAGCTTTCTCTGTAATGGTATTCAATGCTAAAACAGCCTCTCCCACACAGATATGAGATATGTGTCAACACTGTTACATACTTCCAATACATGGTGATCTCTTCTTTCTTTCTTTCTTTCTTTCTTTCTTTCTTTCTTTCTTTCTTTCTTTCTTTCTTTCTTTCTTTCTTTCTTTCTTTCTTTCTTTCTTTCCAGAATATGGTGTTTACTGATCTGCAGATCTGGCTGTAGTGGGCTTTTTGTCAATTACCATTTTGGGGAGTTTGTGTTCTAGTATTTGAATTCTGTACTTTTATTTTAATCCTTATCCATTACCTGGAAATGCTAACATGGCCAGCAGTGTATAAATACTGTGGAAGTAAGTAAGTAGTAAGTAAAACTTTGACCACATAAGGATTAGTCTTTCCTGCTTTGTATCTTTGGAAAAACCTGCCATGCTATCTTGTTTAGTAGTGTTTTTTTCTACAACTTAGGTATTTAAAATCTTTTATATTCAAAGATATTGCAAGTAAAGAAATGCACATTTTACTCAGTTACATGATTTGTCTTTTCCTCTTCCACTTGCTTTGTACAAATGATTAATTATTGTGCAAGGAGTAAGCTTTTTTTAATTTTACCTATATGAGCACATCTGAAACTATCTCTTGCATGTGAATTCATGCCAATTTTGCTGCCATATTCCCCCAACTTATTAAAAGGGCTGCACTTTGCCAATATAATTGCAGAGTAGATTCATTATTTACAATCCTAGTCTTAGCCTTCATATCTACTTAATATGTGCAAAGTGTTTAGTTTTCCATTGTAGTCCAGCTGCATCACTGGAATCAAACTTGTAATTGCCTCTTTGGGATTTAAAACCATTATACTTGTGCTTTTATGTTCTCTTTTGTTTTGCTTGAATCACTTTTTCAGGTCTGTGAAGTACAGCTGGCACAATAAAAGTTTGATCAATGCATAACCAATGTGGTGTATATTTCTTCCAGAAATATAAAACTCAGGTGAAAAATGTTAATCTATGAAAATTATCTTTGTCAGCTACTTATTCTTGGAATTTAAATTGGCTTCAATTTTGAGGAATATGGTTTGGCCTGGGGTTTTCCAGTCTGGATTTTACAGCAGCATTATGTTTTGTGTACTTTTGGCATATTGAAAAATAAGCTTGTCTGATGTAAAGTTTCAATTATCAGGGTGTGTGCGTGTGCGTGCGTATGTGTATATTGTTGCTTAGAATGTAATACCTGCCTGAATAAGATAATTGTAGAAATGACATGGATGAATAGTACCTGAGATGGTTTCATGGTTTGGATCGCTCCAAAAAATATCATTAATGCTGCAGTGGTTATTTCCTCTTTTGAGGAAATTGGAAATATTCTTCCAGTATTTGAAGTATATTTAGAATTCAGATGGTTATATATACTATATATCATATACTAGTGCCAAGCCCCTTCCCA